GGCCAACCTCTTGACACACTACCAAGGAAGGTCGGCAGGGTTCACTATGAAGCCTTTCAAAGGTTTGTCTAACAAGTTAGTGCCATTAGATTCACTCGGCAAACAGATGTAGAACCCCCCCTTCCCGATGGCACATTGACACGCAGCCTATACTCATGGGGACAGAGGCCGCACTATACCCGATTCGTCAAGCCATTCTTACGCCAATAAAGGTAACCACTAACAAGCTAGCAAAGGTCCTCATACTGATCTAAAGCCAGAGCCATGTAGCCCTTACAGTTGTACTGTAAGTCCCGGATGATCACTTACAGATAAGTCCTTAGGGAGAGGAATCTAGAGCACCATAAAATAGCCCAATGCTCTAGCCCCTTTGTTCCATGTTGCTAAAAAGCATCTTTTAGTGTTCATTGCATATACCATTAGTCAAGTTACAAGATCATGGTCTTTAATTGAGCACTAGCATCATACTACCCAATGCAATACCCTATAGGTATCAAGGAATCCAGGATATCAAATAGCTAGGAAAATTACTATGGTTGCCAAGGTAGACACATGCATATGATTAAAATGATATTAAGGTGAATAGGACAACAAGGAAGATCCCATGCTATACTTGCCTTATACGCTTCCCTCAAACTTTCTCATACTTTGCTTCTGGTTATCACCTTCCAGTCTTCATCACTCACAAACGATTCTCGTTCTACTCATAGCAAGCACCACGCATAGGCAACCATACAAGCAACAAATAAAAGCAACTAAGAACAATTCACCACACGAGAGAAAAACAACAAACTAAAAGAGAGCTCGTCACTACGGTCACAAGATCACAAGAAACGCCGAGAACGGAACTACCGTTGAAAGGAACGACTACCGGGAGATTTATATTATAAAAGTAAAGAAAAGCCTACATGCTTGATTTGTTTTAATTTAGCGAAACCATATAAAGCATGTTAATTCAGATTACATAAATTCACATTTTATTTTAGAAGCCGGATTAAACTAGTCATATTTTATTTACCAACATATCTCATATTATTTAAGTCATTTAAACTTTACTTTGCATAGGAAATAAACATGTGAGAGTATCTATTCAATTTATCATGTGCCACGTGTTTAAGCTAAGCAAATTATGATTTAAAATACATTTATGTCAATATTAATCAAATTAACACTATCATATGAAAAGGCGAATGTTAATCCCTATGTTACTTTGAATTAAAATCTGGATTACATAAAGCAATAATCAAATTAATATTTAACATATAAATTTTCAAAGATGTGAGACAGGTTAAACATCGCTGCTAACACATATCTTATGGTCGACACGGTCGCAACTCAACCAGAACGAAGTTACAACACTAATTAGCTTTTAATTCGGAAAACGGTGTGAGCAATAATATTAATCCAATTAACATTTGTGTTGAAAACTATAAACACGGAACATGATATATAACATCGTCATTGCCCTGGATATAACGTTACAAAACGAGCGTAGATCGGGAACATAATTAAAAAGTAGATTGATTTTAATTAAAAAGACTATTAAATAAATGTTAATCAAATTAATATTTAATTATGAATGCGTAATAAGGTAACATGGAACACATCGTCATGAACACGCATCACACGTTGCGATGAAACTCACGCAATAGAATCGAAATCAAAAACCTAAATCGACTTTAATTAAACAACGATTAACTAATTATAAACACAATTAATATTTTACTAAAATAAATTCATAAACATGTGACATATAAACTAATAACTCTACTGCGTAGATCTCGGCGACATGAATCTAACGCAACTTGAACCACTTAAAACGGAATTAAAATGGATAAACGGCGAAGGCTACTCACCAGTGGCAATTTCATAATTATCGGCATCTTCTACCCCCGTCCATCCACGTACAGGACCTCACAGGGAGAGGCACGGCGGGGCTCTGCTGCTGCAGTGCATGGGGGGATTTACTTGCTTGTGTGTACACACGCATGGCCCTTGTTTGCTTTCAGGTGAACGACGAGCTTGCTTGCTTGCTGGACTTCAAGACTGCAAGCAAATGGACTGCAGGTGCATGGCCCGCCTTGGCTGCTTAACGGAGGCATGCAGAGGCGCATCAGATGGAACACAGATGATGATCGGGTCGATAGGCACAGATGCACGGACAAAAGGTGGATATGGTTATCGTACCATGTGGCTCGGCAGCAAAACTGCGAACTCAGATTGCATCGGACCTTCGGACAAACAAGGCCGGAGCAACACGCTTGCATGCTGTCCAACCTAGCTTAATTATGGAACAGAACCTGCAGGATTGCATGACCTAGTGAGCTGTGCAGATCATGTAGAGGAGAGACGAAGGAACTGTATGCTGGATTTCTCACCGACGGAGGCGAGACGTCCACATAACCGTCTCGGAGATTGATGATGGCTCTCGATGAAGCACGGACTGCGGCAGGAGAGGTAGCTGCTGCAGATAGAACGATGGTGACCGCCACATCTTTGACGGACAGCCGGACTCCATGCGCCCGTGGGCGACAACGACATGCAGTGGTAGCTCGGCGAAGCTCAAACTAAACTTGGTAAATTTTATCCAAATATTAAAATAATTCATTTTATTTAGTGTGTTTTCTATGCACAACCCAAAATCGGAAATTTTGGGGTGTGACATATATTATCCCGATAAGTATGTACTTACCTGACAGGTATTTGGAGTAGGCCCAGCGACCAATTTGACCCTTGCTTCTGTTTCCTCCAGTGTAAGTAGGATATCCTCTCTCATTGGCCTATCCTTTGGTTTAGGCCGCGTGCACCTCTCTAATATTTCGAAGCATGCTTTTATTTGCTCTTTTGTAGCCTATTTCCAATAATTGGGTCTGCTGCCTCATTTATGATGAATCCTTTTCCAGCCTAATCATCCAGCTCGCTGGTACCTACACTACTGGAAACGGGATCTTTGCCGAGTGCAAACTGGTTTGCCGAGTGTCAAAAATCGGGCACTCGGCAAAGACCTTCTTTGCCGAGTGCCGCACTCGGCAAAGAGTTCTTTGCCGAGTGCCGGGCACTCGGCAAAAAAGGCTCTCGGCAAAGGACTTATTTGCCGAGTGCCAGGCTCTCGGCAAAAGCACGGCACTCGACATAGGCTGCCTGGCGTAACGGTGTTCGGCCACGTCCTTTTTTGCCGAGTGTCTGCTGTTAGGCACTCCACAAAGAAGGCTTTTTTTTAAAAAAAAAATTCTTTGCCGAGTGTCCCAGATCTGGCACTCGGCAAAGTTTTTTTTTTGGAAAATACTTTGCCGAGTGCCCCCGATCTGGCACTCGGCAAAGGTTTTTTTTTTTAAAAAAAATTCTTTGCCGAGTGTCCCAGATCTGGCACTCGGCAAAGATTTTTTTTTTTGAAAAATACTTTGCCGAGTGCCCTGACACGGCAATCGGCAAAGAATTTTTTTTCGAAATTTCTTTGCCGAGTGCCCCTGTGCAGGCACTCGGCAAAGAGGAAATTTTTTAAAAAAAATTCAAAACCCTCTTTGCGAGTGCCTTATTATTCGCACTCGGCAAAGACCCCCTTTGCCGAGTGCCATGCCCTGGCACTCGGCAAAGTTTTTTTTTTGCCTCGAAATTTTTTGTGCAGCCCTTTTAAGGTACCAGGAACTCCCATTTAGAATTTGGGGATTTTTGTGGCTTTTTTGATATATTTAGTTATTTTATTTCGTTTACTTGATTTTTTTCGAAAAATATAAATTTGAATTGCATGTGATACGAATAATGGAATTTAATGATTCAAAAAATGATAGTCATGTTACTGAGTGTAGTGTGAGGCCGTATCCAGGAACGGACCCTAAATTTCGGACATCTTGTTCACGAAACATGACCGCGAACTTGCGTGCGAAGTGTTTTTAAATTCTATAAAAAACAAACGAAGTCCGAAAATCATGAAACTTGTTGAGATGTCGTGATATCGTATGTGGAGGCTATGATAAAAATTTAAGAAGGTTTGGTGCACGTTGTCATGTACGATGCTTACAAACCAGGACATCTCCACATGTGATATCTGATACTTCTTCAGAGATTCTTCGGTTTGCAAGCATCGTATGTGACAAGTTGCACGAAACCTTCTTAAATTTTTATCACAGCCTCCACATATGATATCATGACATCTTGATAAGTTTCATGATTTTTGGACTTCGTTTGCTTTTTATAGAATTTAAAAACAACTCGACCGTAAGTTCGTGGTCATGTTTCATGAACAAGATGTTCGAAATTGGTGGTCTGTTACTGGATACGGCCTCACATTATACTAAATAACATGAATATTAATTTTCCATTCATTTTTTTTCATTATTCGAATGACTAGCAGTTATAATTTGAATTATCCAAGAAAATTCAATTAAATAAAATAAATTAAAGAAATATAGAAAAAGTCCGAGAAATATGCCACATTGGGACATGGAGTACCAGGTATTGTATGAGGACTGCAGAAAAAGTTTGAAGGTCAAAAGTGGAAAATAAATAAAGTTTGCCGAGTGTAAAAAAATAACACTCGACAAAGAAGCCTATTTGCCGAGTGACAGGACGTATGGCACTCGACAAAGAATTAAAAAAAAATTAAAAATCCCTCTTTGCCGAGTGTCGGTCCGGGTGGCACTTGGCAAAATTTTAAAAAATTTAAAAAAATACTTTGCCGAGTGCCCGATCGAGGACACTCGGCAAAGAATTAAAAATAATTAAAAAAAAACTTTGCCGAGTGCTGGATCGGGGGCACTCGGCATAGGGGGATTTAACCATCAACCGAGGCCAGAGTGGTTGCGCCGTGGAAGCTTTCGTTTACCCTTCCCAGTCTTCCTTCCCAGCAATCCCCGGTCGTCTTCTCTTCTTCCCACTCTCCCACCCTCCCTCCATCGTTCCCTTCCTATCACGCGGAGTCGCGGTGATGCAGCCACCGAGCACGGGCGTCCTACGCGCCGCGGCGGACGGTGCCCACGGCGGCGGGGTCGATCCGGGTCACCATGGAGGTGGGCGCCGACGGCGTCGCGCTCATCACCATCGCCAACCCGCCCGTCAACGCGCTCCATCCCATCAGTAAGCGACCGACCGATGCCTCCTTCTTCCTCGGTGTTCAATTCTTCCGTGGTTTTGCTTTCGGTGGAGTTTCGTTTTTGCGGTCTAATCCCGTCCTGCTCCCCAACCTGTCGCCTGCGGTCATCGCCGGGCTCAAGGAGAAGTACGCGGAGGCCATGCGCCGTGACGACGTCAAGGCCATCGTGCTCACCGGTCTGATCTCTCATCTCTCCTCTTCATTCATCTCTCCTCTTCATTATTTAATTTGGTCTTCTATCAACTATCATTAGATAATATCTCCTTTTATATTGGGGAGTGGGGATCTTGTCTCTACTCTCTGTAGTATACCAGCCATCTTAATGTTTGGTGCTATCCACGGACCACGTTTGATATGGATAGTCGTGGAAACGTCGCTTTCCTAGTTTTCTACTATTTCTGCTCACCCCAGTCCACCTTGAACTGCCTACTTACTTGCCAGTTGCGCTGGCCTCTGGAGATAGCACCTTGCTCAAGGAGGCAGAGATAGAACTCAAAGTGGTGGAAACAAGAAAACAGGGCCCTTGTTCTATACTTGATACTTGATAATAGAGCTTTGCATTTAAATGCTCCTCGACAATACTGGGCAGATATTTATGTATTTGCTCTACCTTTCTACTAAACTGAAAGTGTCCTGATACCTTTTCAAGTTGTTCGACATAATTCACATTTTTAACCGTTTTTGTTTTGTTTAATTGGTAACTAATTTGGATGCGCTGCGAAATCCGTACACTGGTATGCGAAAGAGATGTTCTGTTTCTGATTCTTATCATTGTCCTAGATTCTGAATTGCCTAGGGGCTGGAGGCAAGTTCTGTGGAGGATTTGATATCAACGTTTTCACAAAGGTTCATCAGACTGGTAAGGGAATGCCTTTCACTTGTACTGTTGTTAGCTCTATGCTAGGTTTTCTGCTTACGGGGAGCTGTTTGCCTGTTCCATTGCTTACATGTGCAACATTGGTGGCATGCAGGGGATGTATCACTTATGCCGGACGTATCCGTTGAGCTTGTGTCAAACATGATGGAAGGTATAGTTTTTTTGCCACATCACTTGTATGCAATTGTAACCTTTTGCATATGCTTTTGTTTCTACCAATATCACAATTCCTGGACCCACTGAATATCGAAGCCACGTCTTGTTGCTTTAGAAAATTTTGGCATATTGATTTATATTTGACTGCTTAGTCTGATATCAAGCGATGAACAAATTCGGGGAAAAAAAGAGAGATCATAAATATGAATCTTTGCTTAAATCTTTAATGTGTGTATTTATTTCTACCATAGCCTTCATTTAATTCAAGAGAAGCCAATCAGTAGGCATCCAGTTACTTATTTTGTGAACTGTGGATGTAATGACCTGTCTGTAAACAAGTTCCATGTTTTTAGTTAATTACTGTAATGATCTAGCATGTGATGTTTCAGTCTTCTGAATTGGACATCTGGTATGACTTTAACAGCAAAGTAAGTTCATTACGGCAAAGGAAGGGAAGGAACGTGGTTTGATTGTCGCCTCGTATCTATGGGCGCTACCCTTCATCTCCGACTTTGATCCGCACGGGACCAGTGCAGATCCAGTACGGAAGCTGCCCAACTGCCGCCGGGAGCGATGCCTGACGGATTGAAGCCGCCACCATCCTCGTTGATGTACACGGGCCATCCTCATCTGGGTGATCGATGAACCGAAGCCGCCGGATTTGCCGTGCTTACAGAGAAGACGCCGGTGCAGCCCAGCTAGCTTGGCGTTTGTTGGCTCGATCCAGAGGTGGTTTGCTGGTGCATGTACTGATCCTTCCTTGGTGAAATTACATTCTTTCTAAACTTCTGTTCAATAGCTAAATTCAGATGTGGTTGCTGAAATAGAACAGCATGTGATCCTAGAGCCAGCAAGCATTGATATTTCATATCATCATTAGAACAAAGGCAAAGTTTACTACAACAGTTCATATTCAGAATTCCTACTTCTAGTGTGTAAATTGTCACTGCAAGTACTCAAGTATTAGTTTCTGCGGAGCCGAATCGGCTGCAACCGTTGTCACTTCTAGTGTGTAAATTGTCACTGCAAGTACACAAGTATTAGTTTCTGTGGAGCCAAATCGGCTCGCATGTTTTCCTCATGTTACTGCTAGTGCTAGTGCCTTGTATGCTCTGAATCTTTGCTCTTTATTTCTCTTATCTGTTAGTCCTGAGTTCCTAATTAGATAATCTCTCCAATTTTTGCAGTTTGTAGTGAACTGTTATTGTCAATGGAATTTGATTTTTCTATCAAAAGGTTTAGAATCCAATCTGCAAAACCTTGTCCATTTTCATTCATAGCTGAACTCTATTTTCTCAGATTTGATGCAGAGTGTGTTCTAAAAAAAGAGATGTTATAATTTGTTCATTTCAAATCAATTTCTGTTCCTGTCTGCGTGTACTCTCACTGCTGATTGTACTTCTATTCTGTACAGAGTATTACTTTCTTCGCGTGATGATCTATGTTAAGTTCAACTTGGGTAGCAGCAGCAATAGAGGTCCTAAAGCTTTCTATACAGGTACTTGCAAAGGAATAGAATGCCAATTGAGTATCACATGCCAATTGATTCAGTATAATTTGTTTTCTTTGTCCCTGTATGTTCATTTCAGAAATAAATGAAATATTCAAAGGGTACATAATCTAGTTAGCTTACTCAGGAAAATTAAAATTAACACCTGTACCTCCTGGTGCTTACCTTGCATGCCGTACACATATCATTTGACCTAGTGTGAATATGTCCCTTGTATGAACATGCATGCTGTTACTCATAGTATCACTAACAGACCAGAAAATTCTATAGAATCCCTAACCAGAAATAGTATTTTGCATGTATTTCTATGATGTATGGTTTAACTGTGAGTCTTAACTAATACTGAAAAAAAATGAAAAGTCTAGTATTGATGTTACCCTGTATGTGTGCTTGCAGCTAATTGAACATGATGCTAGTTTCCATGTGAACATGCTGTCTGTATTTCCTGAAAGTGTTTATCTAAATGTTGTGGCTGCCTTCATACTTATTTTGCTAGAGCAAAGAAGAACATGAAGCATCGGTCTGCCTCTGTGGAAGTCAAGTGTGCCGGGGCAGCTATTTGAATTTTTCTGGCGAAGGAGCCTTTGAGAAGGTGAACCTTTGGAAGTATGCTGGTGGATAGTTAGAAGGAATGCCTGTAGTGCGAATATTTATTGATATATTGTGAACTTATTTGTGATATATTGTGAGACATGTGACGTTTGTGATATATATATGTGACGTTTGTGATATATATGTGGTGTTGGTGATATATATGTGATATATGTTTGTATGAATTTATTTGTCATGATGGAATGTAAAAAAAAATAAAAAATTGCCGTTTTGGGTCACTTTGCCAAGTGTTGCACTCGGCAAATGACCCCGTTGCCGAGTGCCATGGTCACAGCACTCGTCAAAGCTGGAAAAATGGGCGCTGGGAAAACCGTTTTTCCAGCTTTGCCGAGCGCCATGACCATGGCACTCGGCAAAGATTTTTAAAAAAAATTCAAACTTTGCCGAGTGCCAGCCAGAGGGCACTCGGCAAAGAATTTTTTTTTAAAAAAAAATCAAACTTTGCCGAGTGCCAGCCAAAGGGCACTCGACAAAGAATTTTTTTTTAAAAAAATTCAAACTTTGCCCGAGTGCCGGCCAGAGGGCACTCAGCAAAGAATTTTTTTTAAAAAAAAATCAAACTTTGCCGAGTGCCGGAAAGAAGGCACTCGGCAAAGATTTTTTTTAAAAAAAATTCAAACTTTGCCGAGTGCCTGCAGGGTTGGCACTCGGCAAAGCCACCGTCAACGGATTCGGCACCGTGACGGTCGCTTTTCTTTGCCGAGTGCCCCCGGGACTCTCGGCAAAGCCTTTGCCGAGTGCCGATAAAAGACACTCGGCAAAGAGGTCTTTGCCGATCAAATTTTTGTCTTGTGTTCTTTGCCGAGTGCCGCACTCGGCAAAGGCTTTGCCGAGTGCAATTTGGCTTTTGCCGAGTGCCTCAGGCACTCGGCAAAGAACCTGAATCTAGTAGTGCTGGCTAACAATGTATCTCCTTATTAATACAAGAATATACATATATACACACAAAATCTTATATATATTTCTTCTTCAACATACATCTTGATCAGTGGTATCTGCCGAGTTACGTCCCTTCACCATGTGTCTGATTAGCACACCCAAGCTATATATGTCTGACTTGATTGTGATCACTCCATCATCTAAGTACTCAGGTGCCATGTAACCCCTGCATGCATGAACACTGATAATGTCACGGCTGACAACGGAGAAAAAACATTTTGATATCTTTGATTTAAAAAACGACCTGCAAGAAACTACTTTTACTCCCGGTTCGCAACCCCTTTTAGTCCCGGTTTTGGAACCGGGAGCACGAATTCGGGACTAAAGGGCCCCTCCTTTAGTCCCGGTTTCGCGCCCGGGACTAAAGGTGGACCTTTAGTCCCGGTTGGTAATACCAACCGGGGCTAAACCCTTTAGTCCCGGTTGATAATACCAACCGGGACTAAAGGTTTTTTTCTTTTTTTTGTTTCTATTTCTATTTTCACGCTGCTACCAGGTTTTTTTGTTTCTATTTCTATTTTCCTTTTTTTTTCTATTTTCACGCTGCTACCGAACTAAAGGTTTTCTTTTTTTTGTTTCTATTTCTATTTTCTTTTTTTTTTCTTTTTTTAATTGATGATTCGTTTTGGTTTTTGAATACGCATTCTACGCTGTTAGAATATACATACGTTTATAATGTTCAACATTTTGTATAAACTATAGTACGAAGGACCTTTAGTCAAGGATCAGCGGTACAATCCCATAGAGCAGATCCTGTTCAAGTTCGTGCTGCATGGTTCGAGAGCTGAGCTTTTAAGTTAGCTTTCACTTTTCTGAACAAGCGAGGTGGTGCTAATAGGTGGGACTGGCCAGCAATTCCAGTATATTGCGATCTTTGGGCCGCCCATCAAGCTCCTATAAACACCCGGGACTAAAAGACCTTTAGTCCCGGCTGGTAATACCAACCGGGACTAAAAGTATATCTTTAGTCCCGGCTCGTAATACCAGCCGGGACTAATTGATTTCCTACGTACGTAGCAGCAAGCTAGCAAAGAGACACGTACTGACATGTCCTGACGGTGAACAGCTACGTACTAGTCTCGGACATGTCAGTACTGACGGTGAACAAAATGTACTAGCTAGCTAGTTCCTACGTACTAGCCGGGATCAGCTAGCTATCAGTACGTACTATGTAGCAGCTACTCTACGTACTAGTCCCGGTTGAACAAAACGTCGCTCCCGTATTCGGTTGGAGATCTTTAGTCCCGGTTGGAGACAGCAACCGGGACTAAAGGTTCATTTCTAATCTCGGACGGAGCCTAACCGGGAGTAGACTTTTACTCCCGGTTGGAGGGACCAGCCGGGAGTAAAAGTTAACATTTAGTCCCGGTTGGTAGCTCCAACCGGGACTAAAGGTCCCCTGCAACAAAAGGCTGCCACAGTAGCCGTTGGGCAGGACCTTTAGTCCCGGTTAGAGCTATCAACCGGTACTAAAGGTTTCTCTAGTCCCGGGCACGAAAAATACCGGGACTAAAGCCAAATTTTGAAGTGGATCAAAAGTCGTTTCTCTACTAGTGTATATAATATCCCTAATTTTTTGGTATATACATAGCTCACCGTGTTCCGCATCTTAGTTGTGTGATCGTGTGGCATTTTTCATCCCCCAAGAGCCTTGACAAACCAAAATCTGCAATTTTAGGCACCATGCCATCGTCAAGCAATATATTGTCCGGTTTGAGATCTAAATGAATTATGTGCTGACAAATTCCTTTTATTATTTGGTAACAAACACGCCATGGAAGCCCACATGGTCCAGCTGAAAAACATGAATATCACTCATTGTACGTCAACAATAATAATAAATAAAATAAATCCTCAAATCAACAATGGAAATAGTACATAAAAATGCATTCTATTAAAACTTCATATAGTATTTTGCTCTCTCTATTCCAAATTATAGTTTACTTTGACCAAAATCAAGCCTTCTGTAACTTTTACCAAGTTCTTAGAAAATATATATTAACATCTATAGGTTTCCAAATAAATGTACTATCATGACCTTTTTTTCATGGAGAATTTACTGAAACTAATTTCATGTTGTAGATGTATGTGCACTTTTCTTGGTCAAAATTAAATAGTTACATCATTTTATTGTACACAGAGACGGGGAAATAGAATATTCATAATGGTGTATTCTATAATGTTGCATCATTTTGCAAAGTTTCTTATGCATGGAGAAGAAACATTCATAATAGTGCTTTCCCCTGTTCCAGTGTCTCATGGAACAAAGCCACTTGTTTGTGCAGTAATGTAGACATAACCGATTGGTCAAGTGTCTTGTGAATAAAACCTCATTG